CCTTAGTGGATTATTAAAAAAAATGGACTTGCACCAGTAGCATACAAAAGCAGTAGCATACAACTCATGTGCAGTATTCAAATAAAATAATAGCATGCAATTAAATCATGAAGTCAACAGTGGCCATTCACCTTGTAGAAAACTTCTATGATACATAACCAATTAACAGTATAATTTTTTTTTTCCAGTTAATAGATACAAGCTGTCCGATTCATAGAAATAAAGATGAACATTTTTCTCATATTGAAACAATGATCTAGACATAACATGCTATGTAGTCACGGAAGCCAAAACCAATTAATCTTATACATGAATCTAAGTTATTTTAAATTACTAGATGCATCTATTTGTCCAATTTCATAGGAAAGCATATATAATCTGTTTCAAGTTTGTTATCCTATTGTATAATTAAACAAAATAAATAAATTCATGATTTATTAAATTAAATAAAAGAAAATCAAATAAAATCATACTTGATAAATTACATTGTAGAGCATAAACATAAAATACGATTAATAGAAAAACATATTAAATCGAAATATGAAAACAAGAAATCAAACCAAATTTTGTGTGGCACCATAGTGTCCTTAAAACAGATTAGCCGCGTCACCGTGGGTGCTGGAGGAACGTCGACTTCTGTCTCCCAGGATAAGATGGCTCAAACCAGCTAACGCAGAAGTATCTTATGTTAGCTTAGCGAACCGACAATGGTAGCACTCTCTCTCATACATGAAGAATATTATACTAGTAAGCAAACTGACTATATGACTGGAAAGCAAAAACTTGTGTCTAAAACCAAAGGGAGATGGGTCTCTTCTTATACACAATGGGAGAGAGAGGAGGAGTCTCCAGCCATCAAGGCTGGCCACAAATGGAAGCCATTAAGTGTGAATTACACACAATATATACATATGTGTATATACATTTCTGCAACAAACTTGGGACCACTAATCCGGTCCAGCCCAAACCCATTCCAGCAAGTCTCAAGCCTCAAGCCCAAGATTAAGATCCAAGATCCACGGACCCGGCCCGGGTAGGCCGGCGGCGCGTGTGCATGTGGCAATTCTGCCATAACTAACTTGGACTATAGTCTTGGCCCAAGTCCATCCTTAAAGCATCCATGACTCCCTTCCTTCAAAAAATTTGGATGCCCAAAAGGGCTCATATCCTTCTCATAATCTTGAGACCTAAATACCCATCAAAGTTTTTCTCAACAATCAATGTGGGATTGGTAGTTATACACAATTCCCAAAACCTTATTCGTGGGACCATCTTTATGAGACAATTTCTCATTCAATTCTGAATGATTTTGGTCATTCTTTATGTGGTGTAAAGACTTCGTTACAAAGAATCTAAACCCATTTCATTCCACCTCAACCAATGGTTGTGACCTACTTTAATTTCACATTAAAGTTTACCAAAACCCATTTTTCCAACAAATGATATGTAAACAAAATATTTATATAGAATGTTGTAAATTTTTTTTTGTCATTCTTTTATAAAACAGTCACCATTGCATTATAATTTTAAAAATTTCATTGACACATCTAGGAATGGCAACGGGGCAGGGCGGGGCCGGGGATCACCCTCCCCGTCCCCGATCCCCGATGGTGGAAACTCCCCCCGTCCCCGGTCCCGACCCCGACGGGGAGCTCATCACTGCCCTCGCCCTTGCCCCTTAATGAGGATCAGGTTTCCCCGACCCCGAAAAGTCCCCGACCAAAAGAAAAAAAAAAAAATTATTTTCATGATTTCTTCAAACTACAACAACAACAATTAAACAAATCTGTCATCAACAACAACAACAATTATTAACAATGTTGTTCATCACCATTAACAATCTCATGAGCTCAAAAATTTAAGATGTAACAAATGTAAATAAAAAAAAAAATCAGATCTAACAGATCTGTTGTTCATCACCATTAACAATCTGATGAGCTCCAAAAAAAAAAAAAAAGATCTAACATATATATATATATTTTCAGATCAGATCAGACCATATATATATTGTTCATCACCAGATCAGATCACACACACACACGCGCACACACACACGCACACAGATCTAACACACACACACAGATCAAACACTGATCACCATGGTGGGAGGAGGGAGAAAACGTCGGAGATGGGAGGAGGAAGAAGGCGTCGGAGATGGGAGGAGAAAGAAGGCCTCGGAGATGGGAGGAGGAGATCGCCGTGATGGGAGGAGCCGCCGCCGCCACTGCCGACGCCATGACCGTGAGTGAGTAGCACCTGATGGGAGGAGCCGTGATGGGAGATGGGAGGAGGAGATCGCCGTGATGGGAGGAGCCGCCGCCGCCACTGCCGACGCCATGACCGTGAGTGAGTAGCACCTGATGGGAGGAGTCGTGATGGGAGATGGGAGGAGGAGATCGCCGTGATGGGAGGAACCGCCGCCGCCACTGCCGACGCCATGACTGTGAGTAGCACCTGCAGAGAGGGAGAGAGAGACAGTTTGTGTATGTGTGTGAGGAGGAGTGTGTTTAGCCAAGCCCTAACACATACACATATATTATCTATATAAACGGGGGGGGGTAACGTAGTAATTTCCTGTCGGGGGAACCGGGGCGGGGATCCGGGCCAGGGATCGAGGCCGGGGTCGGGCCGGGTCCGGGACTGAAACATGCATCCCCGTCCCCGGCCCGAATGTCATCGGGGATTAAAATTTTAATACCATCCCCGGCCCGTCAGGGGTATTTTTCGAAAAATAACCATTCAATTCGGGGTTGGGGGATCGGGTCCCCGTCGGGCCGGGTTCCGATTGCCATCTCTAGACACATCATTTTGAATGTATTTTTGTATAAACTTTCTATTTGTAAATTATTTTGACACCATCATATTTATTTTATAACAATTTTAGCGGTGTCAATTTATAAAAATCTCTAAAAATTTTACAAATTGTCATAGTTCTAAAAAAATTCAAAGTTGAGTGGGTTGAATTGAACCCACTACTCACTTTGTAGCTCCACCCATGCCCAGGGATAGCATATTTTATTTACTTTCATTATTTTTTTATGAAAATAAAAATAACAATAACAATGTTGGATTTGAAATACAAATTTGCATGATTGAGGCAAAAGTATTTACTCACATCAAGGGGCACTCAATATGCATACACATCATAAGGTCTTACCTTCTCTACATAGTTTACCTACACATCCCAGAGATAAAGAACATGGCTCAACAAAATTTCTTAAACAGTCTATCTGTTTTGATATAGGTAACACAATATGTCCCCCATAACTCTCACAATAGGTTTCTCTAACTTGATCGTGCAATGAAAAAATGGCTTGACACAGGAAAACAAGAAAGACCCGAATAGAGGATTCTCTTCTTGCACTGGAGGCCAAATCCTCTGTCCGGATCTTCCCTTGTACTAAGCCACCTCCTTACTGCACACAATGTTTCTCTATAACTTGATTGTGTGATAAATAATTGATTTGGGTTAAGGAAATAAGGGAGATGTGAAGAGAATTTCCCTTTCTTGCACTAGAGGTCGAATCTTCGGTTGTCTCCCTAATAGATCTCTCTAACGTGATTATATAATAAAGAGATGATTTGAAATTAAAAAAAAAAATTAAAAAGAAGGTTAAATTTAATCTATAATTTAAAAGAATTAAAAAAAATATTGTAAAAATAAAATAAAATAAAATTGAGTGATCGAATGGAACACAGATATCCCTACAATGAGAGGGAAAAAGGGGGAAATTACGTCTCAAAGGTACCTTCAAAAATTAATTACATACACATGATAAAATTTATAATTCTACTTTTTAATGTTTTATAAAATTTATTATTAATTTGAAAATAATTTCCAAAGCATGCACTGATGTGAAATTACCCCAAAAAGAAAGAAGTTAAGTGATCTAATTGGGCAAATTTTCCACACATTAATTATGCTAATTGAACCTACAAGATGATAAGTCCCAACTTCTTTCCAAATTCATATTTAGCTCAATGAAAATTAGGGATCTAGATTATCTTTAACAATTTTTTCATCCAATCAGTAGATGATTCAAAAGTCACAATTCAATAACTTGACGACAAGTAGCTGTTGAATGTCATTGAATCAACCACTAGATTGAATGAAAGAAGTGTTGGAGATTATCATCTTCCGAAAACTCAAGTCTCTTCCTACAAGTGCTAGGAAGGTTTACATATATGAGAATTTGTATTGAAGTCACATAGGCGAATTTGTCCACAAGACTCAACCGGGTTCTAATATTTTGATTAAAAACTTAACAGTTTAATGGCTATGACTTCCATTTGAAATACTTGCTAAAATGGGTGCGGATTCTCTATTTCCAATTTTTTGTTATTTTATTTATTGCTCTAAACTATTTGATTATGTGTTGAGATTTTCGTATTTTGAAATTTTCATCCATCATGCGGTTCGAAGTGTATTGGAGATGAAAGACAAATAGCAAGCTTTAGTATGGCTTTCATTTTTTGTTTTTTTAGGAAACACAAAAAAATTGTTTAGCAAACTATTTCTGTAGCTTTTTTCATTAAAAAAAAATAAAATAAAATAAAATAAAAAAAACAGAACTCAATTTTATGTTATGAACCACTAAAAAAGTTGTTTTGGATTTTTCAAGAATTATTTTGCACAACAATATAAAAACGATATGTATTTTTGAATTTTCTATTACTTTTATTTCTAAAATACAAAAATCAAAAAATTAAAAGTAAAACCTAACAGACTTAGAGATTTTAGACTACAGATTATGTGAAATGGGCAATTTTTCAGTGACAAATGACATAGTAACACCAAATTAGGCTAATCAATTGTAGTTTGGAGAAAATTATTAATTGGTTAGTCTCAGAGTATCATATGACATTATTTATGTGGTACTTTCGACAAATGAAGAAGCTATATCATCATTATTTTGCTCGTAAATATTTTACTACGTCACTGATTGAAAACACAACATGAACAATATCATATAATATTCCGACATTGCTGAATAATTACATAGATTCTCATTTCAAGAGATTTCTATTTTTAGACACTAGCATGCGTACTCCACTCCGAGATTACTAAATAACTACACACATTCCAATTTACAAATTTAGAAAATTCCCATTTTTAGAAGCTAAACCTTGCAAGTCCATAGCAACGTCACTTGGCTCTCCAAATTCATAGCTCTTCATCTCCTCTCATTTCCCACAAAAGAAAGTCCCCCCACCTTAGTCGGAATTAGACTTCCGTCTCCACCTACAAACACACCCTCATTCCAAATCCACAGGTTTCTATATAAAAAGAAACCCTTCTCAATCTATCACCACATTAAAATAGCACACATCAACACACACATTAACACACATTTGCAAAAGATGATGAATCTAAACAACACACTCTTTTTCTCTCTCCTCCTCCTTTTCCTTTTCTTCCATATTGCCAATGGCTTTAACATCACTAAACTCCTAAGCCAATACTCAGATTTCAGCACCTTCAATAGCTACCTCACTCAAACCCAACTCGCAGGTGACATCAACAGCCGGCAGACCATCACCATCCTCGTTGTTGACAACGATGGCATGTCCTCTCTATCGAGTAAGCCAGCCAACGTCTTGAAAAAGATCATGAGCGTCCATGTGGTCCTCGATTACTACGATCTCCCAAAGCTCAAAGGAAACTGTCGAAAAAGTCCTCCATCCTCACAACGCTCTTCCAGTCGAGCGGTCAGGCCTCCGGCAACAGGGTTTTTTGAATGTCACTAACATGAACAACGGAGACATAGTGTTTGGCTCCGCCATTCACGGTTCAAACCTTGGTGCCAATTTGGTTAAATCCGTGGCTTCTCAGCCCTACAATGTATCGGTGCTGCAAATTAGCACTGTCGTTATTCCTACAGGCATTGAGAACTCGACTGCCACGTCACCGTCAAAAGCCCCGGCACACTCTCCCAAATCTGCACCGCCTAGCAAGGCACCTGCACCAGGTGGTCCAGCCAAGGCCCCCAGTGAGGCTCCGACAGCTGACACGCCTGGATCCCCACCTAAGCCTGCTGCCGATGGCCCGGCTGCAGATGCACCGACTGACAAGTCTGATGGTATTGTAGGCGTAGCTCTTGGGCTTCGCATCAGCATTGCTATGATTATTGTATCGACTTTGTGTTTCGTGTCGATGGCTTGATTGATCAGGGTTTTTTGCAATAATGTGTTTCCAAATTTTGCTTTGGACTCTTGTTGTCCAGGCGAAAGAGTACTCTCTTTCATGATTTTGTAACTGACAAGTTCAAAATCAGTTGAATGAACGTTTTTTTTTTTTGGGGGTACATCGGAAAGTTTTGAATGAATGTTCTACTTCAATTGTTCAATCCCTCCCCCTTTGCCTCTGTTTGCTTATTTGAAACTCTAATTTGTAGTGAAATCAGAAGAGAGACAAAAATCACTTGACTATAATTTATAGAAAATCTTGATAAAAGCTCTTAGTTTGTATTAGCGCTGGGCATAGGATTATTTAAACCGCACAACTCGTTCAATCCGTATACAAATGGACGGTTTTACAGATACAATGCGGGCAGATGCAGTTTGGAATATGAAATTATTGCGGGTTGCGAGTGCCGCAAGAATCTGCCCGCACTTAGACTTTTTTTTTTTTAATTTTTTAACCTAGACCGTTGATTTCATTCATTCTATCATAAATGGAGTTTGCAAGTTTGTAAATATTTTTATTTTATTTAATGGGTTTGAATTAGATGAAGTTTGACAACCATCTATTGTTATTTTATTATTGCATTTTAAATGAATGTAAAAATTAATGAAGAATTACTTTTAAGTAAGTTTAGAATTTTGAATGATTTTACTTTAATTGTATTGTTTGATAGTGAATGATTTTGATGATTTAATTTAAGATTTTGGAAAGTATGTTTGTGTTAGTTTATGATTTTATTTAAAAGTTTAAGATTTTGAATGATTTGCTTGCGTTAGGAATTTATTTTGTTGTGCTTTTAATTTTATAAGTTTTAATTCATTAATTTATTGTTGAGCATTTTAGAAAATGAGGAGAAAATAGCCCAAAATAAATATTTACAAAAAGGGGGGAAAAAAGCCCAAAAATAATTTTTTTTTTAAAAAAAGTTCAATTTACAAACCGCCCACACATCTACAAATCCTATCCACACAAACCACAACCCGTACTGCAGGCGGTTGCGGATTTAATTTTTCCCAAGCCGCACATATACAAGCAGCTCCAAACTGCAAACCAAACCATCCAAAACCAAAGCGCGAGCCTCCATTGCATAGAAAAAATTCACATAATGAATCATAGAAGAAAGACAATCACTCCTTGCACTCTTTCAGATATAAAACAATTCCTTTTAGCAACTCTCTTTTGGTTTCATTCTTCCTTCGTGCCAATGTCTTCAATGTCACTAAGCTCCACCACCACCTTACCACCACCCTGTCACCAATATCCACCACCCTACAACTACCACCATTGCCAGCACCACCACCACCATCACCACTAGCATATTAGTTTTAAAGTCACAATCAAACATACAAATGTTTCCTACAAAAAAATATTTTTCAGAAAAAGTTTTTCTCTGCCCAAACAAAATTAACCCATAAAAGCTATGAATTGGTTTGAATCTAATTGAGGTGCAATTTGAGACAAAAAATGAATCACAAAGTTACTTTCCACAACAAAATCTGATGAACACATTGAGTACATTCGCATCAGAATACAGATTTATCTTAAAAATAGAGATTAGAGAAGTGCCAAGAAATCAAGAGAGAGAAAACAACATATAGAAAAGAAGAAGAAGATTAATTGATTGATTCAATTACTGAGTTGAAGAAACCTTTGAGCCATGGGATGCTTGGCTTGAGAGAGTTGGTGGGGGTTCAAGACTTCAACAATCTCACCACTCACAAGGAGAGCCACAACATCAGCAATCCTCTGGATTTGTTTGATGCTGTGTGAGACCATCACTACTGTCAGTCCTTCATTCTTCTTCAGCTTCACTAGTACTTCCTCTATGTTTTGTGTTGATATTGGATCCAATGCACTTGTTGGCTCATCCAACAGCAAAACCTTCATATAACAAACACCCAATATATATATATATATATTTTGTAGATGGGGGGTAGTCACATGCATAATCAATGGTAAAATATGTATTTCAATGATAATAACATTTTTGTGTTCATACAACTAATGAATAACCGATGAAAATGAGTCAGAGTGTTATATAAATTAAAACTTTAAAAGGAACATATCGTAATTATTCCAAACTTATGGGACTTAATGTATTTTCTCTAAAATTCAAGGGAAGTTAATGTAATATATGCTCAAATATTAATTAAAGCATCAATTTTTTTTTAAATATAAACGGTCGATGAAAAAAATATTTTTATCAAAAAGTTTATATTAGTGGTGGTGGCATTAGCGGTGCTCGTAGTGGTCGTAAGATTTTAATTTGAAAATTACTTTTTATCTTTCAAAAGTGAAAAATGTTTTCCTCTCAAATAAACTTTTTTTTTTTACCACAAAAATAAACGGTCGATGAAAAAAATATTTTTATCAAAAAGTTTATATTAGTGGTGGTGGCATTAGCGGTGCTCGTAGTGGTCGTAAGATTTTAATTTGAAAATTACTTTTTATCTTTCAAAAGTGAAAAATGTTTTCCTCTCAAATAAACTTTTTTTTTTTTTTACCACAAAAAATGTTATTCGTCATACCCAACACAAAAAAATGCCAAAAAAAATATTTAAAAAAAAAAAAGTTTTTCACCAACACAAATGGAGCATTAGTTAAAACCTGCATCCATCTAACTCTCTCCAAACCCCACACTAATCAGAATCTCGTGAATTGACTGCCTTTTAGTTGGAACTTGCAACATAAATGATATATGCATGTGTGTTTGAAACTAAGGCCTCGTTTGGGAACCCTCTATTTTAGCCAAAAAGTCAAAAAGTTACTAAATTAGTCAAAAAACCTACAACCTATACCAAAAAGTCAAAGATTCTCCTTTCTTTCTACTTTTTGCACATTTTTTCGTAAAAAGCCAAAAAGTCATCCCAAACATACTAGTTTTTTTTAGCTCATATTTTAACCAAATAGCCAAAAAGTTACTAAATTAGCATGTACCCAAACGAGACCTAACTAACAACAATATATTACCTCAGGTTCATTAGCAAGGGTCCTAGCAAGTGCAACCCTTTGAGCTTGGCCAACAGATAGTTCACCACTGGGTTTGTTGAAAAATGAGGAATCAAGGTCAGCCAAGGTCAGCAACTTGTACACCTCATTGTCACTCAGCTTCTTTCCTCTCAACTGTGGTCCATACCTTATATTATCTGCCACTGTTCCTGTAAAAACATAAAAATGTCTTACCAAGTTATTGTATGGTTTGGTTTTGGGAACTAGCTCCAAGCAATGAATTCATAATGTTATTTTATTTTATTTAATGTAAGGAAAACCAAGCAAGAAAGGATGTTGATTAGATTGTCTCACAAAAAGTGCATAGATTGTCTCACAAGAGGGGTGGGTCTCCTCTTGTGTACATGTTGATTAAGAACAATTCTACATGCACAGAAACAAGTTCATGTAGAATGCACAGAATGTCTTACAAGAGGGCGAGGCCCGTTCTTGTGAGACATTCTGTGCACATTACGGCTTTAAAACAAACAAATGCACAAAACAGTTGGCTAAGGAAGCTCCAATGCCATGAGTGCATTTTGCAGATTCTGAACAATATTAATTTCTTTACGTGCACATAATTTGATTATAGAAGGGACATAACTTTTTATATAGAATGAACTCACATATTGGATGGATCCTACCTCATGAGAGAATTGTATTTGATTTTATAATCGAATTTTGTATACTAAATTTTTTTAACAATATTTCAGACCATGTATTTGTATGAGCTCCCTCATACAGAGTGGTGGTGGATCTAATATAATGTGACCATGTATTTGTATGGCGAGAACCTCTAATTATTTGTATTAGTCCATGCATGAGCACCCTGGACAAGCCCAAAGAATGTAGTAGGTCGTGGGATGGGGGAATATTTTTTGTTCTTTTAAGGAAGCACATTTGATTGATTTGGAGACTAGACAATGGCGAGAACCTCTAATTAGAACACTCTTTTCGGAAACCATGGCCTGTCATATTGCTAATATTTCTCTCCCCTTAGTTAATAGGACAGGTTTTCCAATCTGGAGGCTGTCTGCTGATGGTCAATATTCGGTGAGGGGGGGTATTATCAGTTGCTTGAACAGAAGCTCAGCGGCTCGTATTTCAAACAATCGATCAATAGTGCCTGTTGGTAGCGGCTTTGGAAGATTAATTTTCCCCTAAAATGAATGCTGTTTGTTTGGAAAATATTGCATAGGATTCTCCCGGTAAATGTTAATCTTTAATCTGTTTGAACGAGATATAAAGGTGGATCCACTCTGTCCCAGGTGTAAAATGGAGGAGGAAACATTAGAACATCTTTGTTTTAATTGCTCTTTTTATAAACACATTTGGAAGGGGTTGTGGTTGGCTTTTAATTTTGATTCGGGCCAGCAAACTTCAGTAGCAGAATGGTTTCATCATTGGTTCCAATCTGCCCCTGATGATGAGGCTATTATTGACTCTATTTAAGTCCTTTGGGGTATTTGGCTTCACCGAAATAAGGCGGCTTTTGAAAGCATGGTGAAAAATCCATATCAGACCTTATCTGAGATCAATCATATGAATTGGGAATGCGCCAAACTTGTTTCTAAGGCAGTTAATGGAAAGGTTCAAGGAGGATGAAGGCCAAGACAGTTCTTGGCCCTATTATATTTTTAGATTTGAGAGAACTTGAGTCGTCTGTGAAACTCACTATATGTTTTATTTGAATAATTCGAATAATTTATTTTGTAGGACTCTTAATGAATAATATACATGAAAAATCTTGCAAAATGAATAATTTGGATCATCTCTCAAACTCAAATTCAAAGTGAAAGAGAAGTCAACTCACTCTCTCTAGTTTGAGAGCTTCTCTCTCTAAACTTCTCTCCCCCTAGGGTTTCAGAGTTTGTGCCTGAGGGCCGTGGGGGAGGGGTTTCCGGCGGCCTCCGGCCTCCTCTCCCCTCCGCCTACCCCTCTCTTGCTCTTCCCTTTCCTTACTTTGCTTTCCCATAACTTGGAAGCTTGGGCTTTCCATCCTCTCCCTCCTTTGTGAGGTATTTTTCCCACATCCATTCGCTCCGAAAGTGGCCTTCTCGGATCCGCGCCTTCTCCGCTGCCTTCACTACCTCTTCCCTGTCATCTTCTCCATAGCTTGATTTGCCAACGCTAGATTCGCCTCTCCCACAGCCTTCATCGCCTCTTTTCCGCCTCTCCAGTCTCTCGCCGCCTTCACCGCCTCTTCTCCACCGCCGGATTCGCCGAAGCCGCTGCCGGATTTGTTTGGGTGTGGGTCTGTTATGCTTTGTTTGTTTGGTTTAATCCTATGTTTGTTTTCTTTTGCTTTTCTTTTCCTATGGTTTGGGTTGGTTTTGGGTTTGTTTTGTTCTCTTAGAGTCCATTTGTGTGATTTGTTAAGCTTACCCTCATTGTGGTTGAGATCTATGATTTATTTCGGACATGCTCTATTGTCGAACTTTTATGATCGGCTCTGCTTCGCAGTACGAGCACTACCTCTTCCCTGTCATCTTCTCCATAGCTTGATTTGCCAACACCAGATTCGCCTCTCCCATAGCCTTCATCGCCTCTTTTCCGCCTCTCCAGTCTCTCGCCGCCTTCACCGCCTCTTCTCCACCGCCGGATTCGCCGAAGCCGCTGCCGGATTTGTTTGGGTGTGGGTCTGTTATGCTTTGTTTGTTTGGTTTAATCCTATGTTTGTTTTCTTTTGCTTTTCTTTTCCTATGGTTTGGGTTGGTTTTGGGTTTGTTTTGTTCTCTTAGAGTCCATTTGTGTGATTTGTTAAGCTTACCCTCATTGTGGTTGGGATCTATGATTTATTTCGGACATGCTCTATTATCGAACTTTTATGATCGGCTCTGCTTCGCAGTACGAGCACGAGTATAATATGTACTTCTGAATATTTTCATAGTTTTCTTCCTGAGTGCTTCTTAATTTATTTTCACTTTGTTTGGTGTAAGTTTTGGGTTGTTTGGACTTTTGTAAGTGCCGTTTAGCTTTCTTAAATGACATATTTCTTCCGATAAAAAAAAATAAATAAAAGTGAAGTCCAATGTGAAAATATAAATATACATAAATAAATAAATAAGAAAATCAACACCTTTAATGAGAAATATTCTCCCAACTACAACAAAGTATAATTTTCTTTGACATAAGAATTGTTTGAGTAATTGTTTAGAACTAGTTCTATAACTATAGAATAAATTTGTAAGAGTAAAAGATTACAACTTATGCATATGTATTTGATATTAGTAACATATTTGAACAGTTGAGTTTGAATCCAAATCATATATGTACAATAAAATCATAGACCACGGCTCGCCTATTATAAGAACAGGACCGAACTATACATTAAGAAAAATACAAATCTGACCGGGCAGTTTAATCTGAATCGAACCAGTTTGCGCGATTGACTTGACACTACCGAATAAAATCATTCGCATAAATTTACGCGAATGATTTGATTGATGTTAGGGTTGCATAGGGTGCATTGGAAGTGCATTTGGCATACCTGTAAACATAGCAGGAAGTTGGAAGAGCATGCCGACCTTGCGGCGGAGAGCGAGGACATCTAGGGAGCAAATGTCTTGCCCGTCGAGAAACACCGCCCCTTGTGGGGGCTCCCAGAGGCGGTTGAGAGCCCTCAACACCGTCGATTTGCCGCTGCCGCTGGGACCGATGATCCCCATGATGGAAGCTTTGGGTATGTCCAAATTGACCTTGCTCAGTATCGCCTCTCCCTTGTCCGATTTCCTCACTAGATTCCTTATCTGAATTTTAGTCTCCACTTCATTCAAAATTGCAATTCCATTCTCATTCTCATTCTCGTTGTGATTATCATCCACGTCCACCACTAGAAGATGCTCTCTTACACCATCTGTTTCTGCACCACCACAATCCAACATTTTTAATTCAACAATGTTAACTACTATTCATAATTTTACTTAAGAAAATTAGAGGTTGTTTGAGGTTGATTTTATTTTATTTTTTTTTAAAGATTATAATGGACTGGTTTCTCTCTAATTCAGTTTTGGAGTGAAGACGCTTTCAGGCCGTAAAATTCGTTACGAATCTCTGAATTATTTGTTTTATCGAGCCCTCTATATATATATACTAGTGGTTGGGCACACACGATGTGTATGCAAATTAAATAAATAGAAATAAAAGAAAATAATAATGAAATTAATATTATAATGTGTAGTTAGTTTAAGTGGTATGAGTGCTCATACTTAAACCCATAGTCATGGGTTCAAGCCTTGCCCATCTCTTTTTTTAACTTTTTTTAAAAAAATAAAAAACACTGCCATATGGCATGAGGAGAGTAAAGCAAGCTTCACGACACCATATTATGTGTTCACTTTATAATAGTATAGATATATATTTATTATTAATAAAAAAAGTTAGATCAATGATTTAAGAAGTTGGTTAAAAAGTTAATTTTTTGTATGTAAAAGATATGAGAGGTGATGTGACTCAAATGACATAAAAATTAAAAATTAATTTTTAGCAAACTTTCCAAATCACTCCTCAATATTTGTAATTTTTTCATTTTATCATATTTGTATTTAAAAATATAGATGGTGTATTTTGAAAATATATTGACTGTTAAATTTTTTAGAGACAATTTTATAAAATAAAGGAGTTATGAATATCGAATTGACTTTTTTTTTTAATGAATAATATACATAAAGTTTGCTAAAATAAATGATTTGAATAATTAAAATAGGACCCCTAATACCTCTTACAAACCCAAACAATCTTCTCTAGTCCATATTTAAATAGAAGAGAAGCCAGTCTTTTATTATAAAAGATATTTTTTATAAGTGAAAATTTTGATATTTTTTTAGATTTTAGATTGATATTTTCTTCTCTAAAAAATTGATATTTTTTTAGAATTTTTTTTTAAAAAAACCTTTTTTAATCAAAAATTGACTTATTTGACGCATCCCAATGAACACCCTTTCATGGTTCAAATTCATTTTAAGTGGACTCACTGTACATACAACATTTGAATTTGAATAGTATAAATTCTAGATTTATAATTTTATTGTTATTATCACAAAAATAAGGATAAATTATATTTATTTCTCTTTAGATTTCTAACAAATATATGAACCTCTCGTATGATTTTAATAATTATAGAAACTTTCTTTACTTTTGTTGACAATGTCAAAATTTTCCCAATCCATTAATTTAGTATAAACCTAGTTATTTTTCTATCCAAAATGACCATATTGTCCCTTTGAATTAATAAGTTATGAAAATTTTCACTCACCTCTCCTGAGGTTTTGCATATATATTATTAAAGATCCATGATGAAATATTTATTAATTTTAATTAATTTATTTATTATTTAAATTTTATTTTTCTTTTCTTTTTTTAAGTTGAAACAAATAGATTAATTTTTTCCCCCAGCAATTTGCCCTACTTATTTATTCATATGTAAAAAAATTATTTATCCCTAAATTGTTAAGATATTATTAACAAATTTTATTTTTTATCTTTAAGTCATTAAATTTCTAATTGATGCATATTTATATAATAAAAAAAAACGCAAATTATTCTTACATGATTATGAAATTAAAAAATAAATATAGAAGTAAAAAAAAATCTAATCGCCTCACAATATATTAAAATTAGTTAATATGAAATGAAAGATTAAGAGATCATTTGAGAATAATAAACAATTTCTAATTTCTTACACTTAAAAATAAAATAAATCTTTACTTGAATTGAGAGATTATTTTAGAATATTAAAATACTAAATTAATTTTTTGTATGATACTTGAAATATATTTCTCCATCTTTATTATTCTCTTTTAAACTATTTTTTATTAAATTAAATCTTAAAATTAATTTCTCACCTTCATTAATGATTAAAATTTTACTTTATTTTTTAATTTATCACCTTTATTTTGTTCTATTATTATTTATAGCAAAGTGTTATTATTTAAATTATCTAATTTTACTTCTTCCATATATCTAATATTATTTAAATTATCTAATTTTACCTCTTCCATATATCTAATACTCATATAATTTTATTGACAAAGCTAAGAAATCATACTCTAATACTAATTTAAGCACACAACGAAATAAAACAATTTCTAAGCAAAAAACAATATATATATAAATGTAATTTAATTTACCTTATTAAATATATATGAAATTATTAATTATTTTCATAATTTTTTTAAAATATAAATGTAATTTCTTAACTCTATTTTTTTCCACAACAAGTTTTTGAACTTTTATAAACAAAAAATAAAATAAAAATTCAATCAATAATGAAGGTGAGAAATAAATTTTAAGATTTAATTTAATACAAATAGTTTAAATGAGATAAATAAAAATGGAAAAATAAATTTTAAGTATCATACATAACAAATTAATTGAGTATTTTATTATTCTCAAATAATTTCTCCATTTAAGTAAAAATTAATTTTAATTTTATGTGTAAAAAATGACAAATTGTTTGAATTGTTTATTATTTTCAAATGATTTCTTGATATTTCATCCACTATTAAATAATTTTAGTTTATTGTGAGGCAATTAAATTTTTTTACTTCTATTTTTATTTTTAATTTTTTTAATTGTGTAATAAATATTAACTTAAATTTTTTTTAAATATGCATTGACTAGAAGTTTAATGACTCAAAGATAAAAATTAAAATTTGAGAATAATATATGATTGTATAATAATTTTTTTACACACAAATAAATATGTAATACAAATTGCTGAGAAAAAAATAAATCTATTTATTTTAACTTTAAAAAAAATTCAAACAATAAATGCCTTACTTAAAATAATATATTTTAAGTTGTTTATGTGATGTAAAGTAAGTCTTATATTAACTTATTATAATGTTATCTAACATGAATTTTATAGAGACTATTTATTTTTAAGTATTTTATCAATAAAAATTAAGTTTTTTTTTATATTTACATTAAGTTATTTAATAATGTCTTAACAATTTAAAGATTTTATTTAATATTGGCATAAAATTTAAGAATTTTATTAAATAATGATAAAATATGTATGGACTTTTTATAATATATATGCAAAATCTTAATGCTGTGTTTGGTTGGAGAATTTAGAGAGGGATTTGGAAAGAGAATGAGAAAAGGTGTGTGAAACTATGTGAAATTTAGGTATATTTTATTCTCATTTCACCTACCTTTTCCATTTCCCTTTCCAAATCCCTGCTCAAATCCCCAACCAAACACAACATAAGGGAGGTGAATGAAATTTTTCTTTTGAATGGATAAAGTAATTAATGACAATTTCGTCATTTTTGATATGATATCAGTAAATTCTATTAAATAGCTTAATAGTGAAAGAATCTTGATAACAATTTCAAAAGTAATAGAGATTATTGTAATTATTGAATTATAGGGAAAGTTTCTATAATTATAAAAAATCTTAGGATAGTTAAGTGTAATTTATCCCAAAAATAAAGGTTTATACAATACTAGATATTTTGTACCCGAAGGCAATTGTGCTTTGAAATTCATATGATTTGAGCTTGGCACGGTGTGGTTCAAAAGTCTTCACATAGGATAATAAGTTATTGGTTAGTGTTGGGCGTTGGTAGATGATGTTTTAAAAGTGTTGTGATTGATAGAAGAGTTGAGATTTATGATTTTGGATGATTGATAAAATACACATTAGGCATAATTGTATTTTTAAATTTTTTATTTAGAACTTACGAATTGGACTTATTTATTTATAAATTTTATTATTTTTTATGTATCAATATTGTGAAAAAGTGTGAGAGCAAAATAAGTATTTTAAGACGTATTGATACATTAAGAAATTTATAGAATTTATAAGTATTTAAGTCCATCACATATGATTGACTCGTAATTTACCCTCATAACAGAGTACCCAGATATTCACTATCCAAAATTCCTATCCCCCCTTCTTTGGCAATAGGTTAATATAATTAAAAAATCAAAAAATCATTATAAATTATTACATCTCTCTCTTTATATATATATATATATATATATATAAAAAGAAAAAAAATTAATTAAAATACTCTCTTTCACTTCCCAAGGTGATGTTTGGAAAGAGTTTTTTTTTTTTTTTTTTTTTGTTAGTTTTTTTCTAAAAGACAAAATAGATTAAAAAAATCAAAAAAAATAAATCCAGACAAAATATCACATCAAACCTATAATCATTTCATTTTTTCTCTCACAAACCTCACATTTAATTACAAAAAAAATCTAACTATCTTCTCAAACACAAAGGGCTTGTTTGGTTTGTATTTGAGAAACATGTTTTGAGATAAAAAGTACAAAAATTTGTTTGATTTGATTTTTTTTCAAAAGATGCTTTGAAAAATTATTTTGAGAGAGAATTTTGGAAAAAGTGATTGATTTGATGTGTATGAGAAAGAGATTCGTTTGGAAAACTTGTAAACCAAACAAGTTTTGAAAAAAAATTTTGAAAAAGTTGTTTGGTTTGATTACTTTTGAAAACTTATTTGTAGAGAATTTTTCTTAAAATTTTTTGAAAAACACAAACCAAACATGGCCAAAAAATTTTCCTCCAAAAATAATCAAAAACTAAAAAAAATTTATTAAAATAATAATTTTTCAAACACCCACTAAACAAGCCTGCTTTGAAAAATTATGTTTTGAGATTGTCATTGTATGATGTGATTGAAAATGAAGACAATTAGTTGACATGGTGTCAGTGAAATTAATTTAAAAATTAATAAAATAAAAGTTTATAATATTAATTATTGATATTTATAATATTTTTTCATTTTTAACAAATAAGAAATTATTTAGGCATAATCTAAATAAGTGTACTTATATACTCACATTACCTTTTTATTTTTTTTACATATTTTTATAAAAAAAATTAAAAAATACACTAAATAAACAAATCCAAACAACTCCTTAGTGCCACTGACACAATATCAGTATAATTCTGTCTGAAAATGTGCATGAAACACTTACTACTCAAAATCTGTCAGTAAAACACTTTTAAACATACTTCATTTTATTTAGTTAAAAAAAAACATATTTTGTTTTAAAATTGTCATGGTTTGAGATTTTTATTTTTATTTTTTTTTATACAAAGAAACAGGATTTTGAGCTGTCATCACTATATTTGTGAACTTAGATTCAAGAACAATTGATTGTCGACCTGATTTAACCCAATTCATAAAAAGAGATCCACTACCAAATTACTAATAAAACTTAGCAACACATATCAGAAGAGACAAAGGCTCAATTTGGAAAGAGGCTAAAAAAATTAAGGGTCTGCTTGGTTGTGAATTCAAAATCAAAAGGATAATTTTGGAAAATCAACTTTTTTCAAATGCAATAATTGTACTATAAAAAAAAGTTGGATTCCCAAAAGGGACCATTATTTTGGGACGGAGGGAGTATTTTGTTTTAAAATTGTCATGGTTTGAGATTTTTTTTTTTTTTTTTTTTATACAAAGAAACAGGATTTTGAGCTGTCATCACTATATTTGTGAACTTAGATTCGAGAACAATTGATTGTCGACCTGATTTAACCAAATTCATAAAAAGAGATCCACTACCAAATTACTAATAAAACTTAGCAACACATATCAGAAGAGACAAAGGCTCAATTTGGAAAGAGGCTAAAAAAATTAAGGGTCTGCTTGGTTGTGAATTCAAAACGTAATTCCACATGTGTGTTTCAATATGATGTTTGGTTGTGAGTTTGGAATCAACTTTCAAAACCTCTGCAGAGAGCTCTGTATCACAGCCACGTTTTTTGTGAAAATTTTGGCCAGGGGAAGACCGCCCGGACATCCTTGGGGTCATCCGCCCGGACGTCCTTGGGGACATCCACCCGGATGTCCTCTGTTGTACAGAATTTTTATTTTTTATTTTTTTGCAATTGATTTATATAATTGGGAAAAATATTTTCTGAATTTTTTTTAATTTTTAATGTGCTTTAAAATAATTTTGAGTTGTATGTTTAGTTATGAGTTGTAAATTTTTGTATCACATATTAAATATCACATCAACAATTCCCTACTCAAATCAAATCTCTTTTCCAAAACTATTTTCAAAACTCTTTACCAAACAAATTTTATACATTCAAATCATAATTCTACAACACACAAACTCAAAATACAACTCATACTCTCAAATCACATTTACAAAACACAACCAAACGCAACCTAACTTTCGAATTTTTTAACTTTTTTAACTAAAAGAACTAACTTTTTGTAAAAAAAAATTATCAAAAAAAATCAAAAAATTAATTTTTTATCAACTTTTCAATACACCACAAAGTGTTGATTGAAATATAATGCCAGATTTTTTATCAACTTTCACACGCCAAAAGTCGCACCTAACTCACTTGTCTTCGTCATCAGGCCACCAACCTTGGTTTGGTAGTTGAGATTCTCGTTGTATGGTGTGATTGAAAATATACACAAAATATTCAATACCTAAAATCCCTGTCCCTAAAATACTTTCTAACGTTGTTGCTTTGAAATTATTATTCAAAATTCTCATTATATAAAACCCAAATTCTCAATTCCTAAAACACTTTTAGATATAAATCACGTTTGTTTGACAGATTATGTTAGATGAGATTATTAATAAAAGGATAATTAGTGAAATAATTATTAATATAAGAATTGTTAGTAAGAGGATTAAGTAAAAATATATTTGTTTCAATGATAGTGTGAGAGATGGTTAATGATGAAATTATTAAATTATTTTTATATAAAATAAATAAATAAAAAGTATTTCTATATTTAAAAAAAACTAAAACAAATATTAAAATAAACAGATACACTTAATAAAAAAAATAAAATTAAAAATTAATTTTTTTTATATAAAATAGATTCAATCTAATCATTAGTTTTTTAATCTTATCCAAAATCCAGCCAAGTTAATCTCCTCTTAAGGGGGATTACTAAGCCCCTCACACTGTTAATTTCTCCTCTCAAATCATCACTAAATAAAGTATAAATGGGACCCATACCCATAATAATCTAATCCGATTCCGATCCCACTAAAAAACATAACCATAATGTGTTTTGAAATTTTTATGCTTTAGCCCCGGTTTGGTAAACATTTTGAGCTAAATAATTATATATGAACAAAAAAAAGTCAAAAATATCAAAAAGTCAAAAATCTAACAAAAAAAAGTTTGTCATTCCAAAACTAAAAAATCAATAAAGCCAAACAAAAAAACCAAACAAACAAAAAAATCTCAGGCTAAAAAAATAAAAAATAAAAAAAATCAAAACTAACTTAAAAAAATTATTACCAAACGAACCCTTAAAATCTTAAATACATATTTATATTTCAAAATTCTCTATCACATCATCATACAATAATGCTTTAAGACACAAAACAAGAGTATATAAGAGGAATTTGAACAATGGTACACATACCTTGGAACGTCCCCATTAAAGAACCAAAGCTTTAGAAACCAGGCAAAAACCAAACAAATAAAAAAGTCTTAGACTAAAAAATTAAAAATAAAAAAAAGTCAAAACTAACTTAAAAAAATTATTACCAAACGAACCCTTAAAATCTTAAATACATATTTATATTTCAAAATTCTCTATCACATCATCATACAATAATGTTTTAAGACACAAAACTAGAGTATATAAGAGGAATTTGAACAATGGTACACATACCTTGGAAGGTCCCCATTAAAGAACCAGAGCTTTAGAAACCAGGCACCGAGAGAGAGAAGACAATGATGGAATGATGGGTAGTCATTACCTATTTATGGGCACTTGCAGTAGAAAAAACCTTCCCTGGTGATTACAGGGCTAGAACAACATTTTGCCTACCCCACAAAAAGGAAAAATGTTACAGAATTAAATAATTTATCAATTTTTTTATTAAATTTTTCATGTAAATGTAAAATTCATACAATTTTACACGTGTGTAAATTTTACATCTATATAAAAAATTTGATAAAAAATTTAATAAATTATTTAAAATTCCTATCACAATTTTCCCAAAAAAAAAATGAAGATTTTTCTCTAAATGTCTTGTTGGCAACTATTAAAAAATTCTATAGCTATTGATAGTTTTTACTTATTTTCAATAGACGACAATGTGATCTTCACGTGAGCTTTTCAGTTTTGTTAGGCAATAAATGTAGGCATCTGTTAGTGTTAATGCCAAAAATTCACAGGTGAAACTCAAATTTTTTTAATGTATTAAAATACAAATTAACGTACGCACATAGAAAAAAATTTAATGGGTTAAATTTATTCAATGTGGATTTTATTATATGAGAACCGAATGTGAATTGCATTAAATTACTTTGATTAAGTTTCTATGTATAAATTTTGTACACATCTCTTTATTAAGTGCAATTTTGTACCCATCTCTTTATTAAGTGCGAATATAATTATTTATTTGTATAATATACCTTATCAAAAAGTTATTTGTCGGTTCCATATGAGGGGCAGGGAAAAAAAATTGTGTCAAATTTTGAAAATATTATTTATAGTTTGGCAAGTGAAATAATAATTTAATCCATTGAATATAGAGATGGAAATTTGCCCATTCCCGTTGTGACTTGTCTTTTGGGGTTATTTTTTGAAAAGTCCAAACAAGAGAATTTTTTTTATTTTGTTTGGAGTGTACTATATAAGCACATTTTTTTATCTTTTTATATTTTTTTGGTTACATTATCTCTCTACTTTTCTGTACATCTTTTCGTAAAAAGTCAAAAAGTATATTTATTTAAATCATTAGTATAAAACTAGACTACATTTGACATTCTTGCACGATCAATATTCACCGTTAGTGGATTTGAAAATATTTATTTGGAAAATGTTCGAAGCTTCATCATGTTGAAGCAGATATTTAGTAATCTAGGAATATATGTAGCATTGTCCACGAATTTCTCATTTTTTGATAATATTGTAGATTATTTATTTTATGTGATACTCTAACATTACTTAATAATTTCTTTTTTAAACATAGATAAAATTGTTTTCATACATGTGAGGGTAATTTGACCCTAGGTCCCCAACCCAAATATTACAAAGATACCCATTAATTAATTTGCAAGATAAATCTTCATGAAATCCAAAATACAATATTATTTTTGAACACGCTTTTAAATAATAAAAATAATTCATGCATACAATTTTTTGCACCTAATCCTCCCAAAATGACGTAGCAAGTAAAATTTGAAAAGTTGATCCAAATTTACATATTCTCTCAAAACTCTCCTTACATGCATTATGTCTTGCCAACTCATTAAAAAGATTGTGAGAAGAAGAAATTGTGTAAATGTAACACTGATAATTTAATAAATTGGAGTGCCTTGAGTCGGTATGTAATATTGTCAAATAAATGCATAGATGTTGATATTTATTGAAATAAATTCATGTATTATTTACCATTGATGGCATTTGTCATCTTTATGGATGGAGTAATAACTTACAAATTAAGAAAATGTTAATACATATGAATTTTTTTTTTATTACTAGACACCAAATCATGAATTTGGAGTATTTATTATGGGCCAAGGTTGTTTCTTGCCCCAACTAGGCATCCAATGGATGCCCGCTCACCACTTCGGCATTTTTTTTTATTATAAATTAATGGTTCAGATTTTGTCACTTATTTAGAAACCCAACATTAGATCTAAGAAAAAAATCTGAACCAATATTTGATGGTTAAACAATCTAAATCTTTGATTTACAAAAATATAGAGTTGACACAAATCTATCAGTCAAATTGTTCCAATACTCATATTAAGAGAAGTGAGTCCCGTTTATTAATATCAACCCATCTATCTTTGGGTATAGTAATAACAAATTTTTATTAAAACATATATATTTATGTATATCATTACTTTGCAAATTAAGAACATTTATTTTGATTTAAAGCAGAAAAAATTCACTAAAAATAAAAATAAATTTAAAAATAACATAATTTATAAGTTGGAGCTGAAAGAGTAGAGGAGAGCTACTAAAATGATTGTGTATAATTGTCATCTCCCAATAAAAACAAGGGTAAAATTCTCTTAAAATGATTTTTTTTTAAATGTTGTATATTAAAATTGTATATTTTATTTATTATCGATCTTATATATTTGACCTGCTAAGATATATATTATTAGTCTATTAATTTATATTATTTTATATTTTTATGTAATATTATGTGTTTGTATATATTTTAGTATTTGTATATAAATTAATATAAATAATATATTTTAGATAGTTTATATGTTAATATATTATAAAGTGTACAGTAAAATATAATGAAAGTCGAATCTAGTTGTGTCATTTACATTTACATTTACATTTGCAGTTGTATTGCTTTACTAAAAGATGCAAAGCATAAGAGTGCTAAAAATAATGATATGATAATCACATTTTGTTTATCTTATTTCTTATGTCAACACTGTATTAATAATAAATATAAGTTATAGGACCCCTTAAATCAATACACTATAAACATATGAAATGATAAATGAAATATAATAAATATATATATATATATATATATTATTATATTATTTATATTCCTATGTTTGTTTTATTTGCAGGATACTATAAAATAGGGGTGAACAACGGATATATCAATTTGCACGAACCAAACCGATCCACTACATTTTGGACGGATACATGATGACGAGCAGACGGTTACGGATTGATTTTTTCCAATCCACCTAATTTTGGACGGATGGCGGATTTGAGGTTCATTTGGCTGCAACCGAACCGCCAAACCGTGAGCACCTCTAGTAATTTGTAAGGCTTTGTGTTTTTAGTTTGTTTAGATATTCTGTTTGTGTTTTCAATTAAAAAAGAATTTAAATATTATGTTGAATGTATTCTATTGAAAAAGAGTTTTCGAATTAAATATATTTTTTTGAATTGAAAAAATAAATGTGTTATTTATCTATATTTTTGGTTTTTAAATCTAACTCTAAAAATAATAAATAAAAAAGTTGATATATGCCCGTTGGTTTTTGTTTTACAAAACAGATATAGATGTAACAGTACAGAGACATACAATCTCTACTACTGCTCTGTTCATGATTTTTGTGGTTTGAATTGTTTTTATATTTTAAGAACCACATATTTTAATACTTTATGCGAATGAGACATGCTGTGATTGTAATATGTGAATGATGCATTGAGTGATTGTAATATTCTAAAATCTTAAACTTTCTTTCTTTGGATGAGGCATGCAGTAATTGTATACTTTTTTAAGTTATTGACTGTAAAAAAATAAAAATAAAATAAAATAAAAAAATGATGAAATGCACAAGTTGAATTATGTTGAAAATTTATAAAATTTTAAACTGCCAAACCGATTCGCATCCATCTGTCAATCCGCTAATCTGCTCAATCCACATCCGCCGGATTGGCAGACGGATACAGATTGATTTTTTTCAATCCGCCAATCTAGCAGACAGATGACGAATTGAAGGTTTCGTAGTCGCAACTGACCCGCGCCCACCCCTACTATAAAATGAGAAGTGCAAGGCGAGAAAAGAGAAGAGAGAGGGAGCTCGGGGCAGAGATCTCTAGTCAAGGACATCAGTCCAAAGTGGAAGTGTTTAGTTTATAAATACTAGAATGTGATAATTTTCTTTTTAGAGTAGAGATGAAACGCTGACCAAATAATTAGGGTAAGTTGAATTTAGTATTTTTAGTTTTGATTTGATTTGGATACAGTTGTATAACTCTAGATCTTTTGTGTAATAAATATTTTATTCAAATCATGTTATACAATTGTTGTTACTGTTGTATATTAGAATTGTTAGACGAGTCATACCTACTAAGATAGGTTGTACATTAAACCATAGTTTAGTGGTGATAGTTCGTACTAAGCAAAATTAATTCGTGACTTTCTGATTTTGATATATAAATCCTCTTGACGATGTATTTCTAATCAACTTACATCACAATATTCATATCAATGATATTCTAAGGACTGAATACAATTACTCATAATTATGAGGTTAGTGATGGATTCGAAATCCTAAGACATTTATTTTATTTTGTTTATTTAATTGTTTAATTAATTAGTTTAATTTTCACCCTAAATATTTGCAAATAAATCTAAATTTCTAAATTAAATTATTTATCATTAGTCAGTGGCGGAGCCAAGAAATTAAATCAGAGGGGGTACTTATTAATTACAATATTGAAAAATTTTACAAAAATATTTCACATAAATTTTTACCATTGACTTCAAGAAAGATAAAAAAAAAATAATGTCATGGACAATATTAAAAGAAGTCATGTATATAAATTTTAAAATAAATTATATAATGATAGAGTAATTTTTTATACAAAATATGCGTAAAAATTCAATATAATAGTCATACCACATTATCATTAACATGTGATGTCACCAACCAATAAACGTTACATGTTAAATGTAACTAACAATTCAATAAATTCTATATTTTCATTTGAGATTAATTATGCTTGCATGTCAATAATGATATACATCACCATTATATTGGAATTTTCATAAATAATAATATCATAGTCACTTTATTTTCAATCAAAACAACTATTATTGTTCTCATAATTTTAAAAATGTCATTGGCATTTAAAATAATATTTTTATAATTTTTTTATTTAAAACATTTTCTTTATGTTTGCACACACAAAAAAAAAAAAATTCAAAACCGACGGGGGCACGTGACCCCCTTAGACCCTTGTTAGCTCCGCCCCTGTCATTAGTCCTCGAGGATCGACACCTGATTTTAACCGTTATTTTACAGAGTAGTTGTTTTACTTGGTTTTAAATAATTAAGGGGTAGGGTGATTAGCCACCACCACATCGTTTGTTTG